TTATTCAATCTCATCTATTTCTTCTTGTAATGTTTGTGCATTTATGTTATTGTCCAAAATATCCTGGCCTAGGCCAATGTCACAGAGTATTTCTCCTCTATTTTCTTCTAGTAGATTTATAAATATGCAAAAATCAACTCAAAATGGATTAGAGGTCTAATCCATTTTGAGTTGATTTTTGCATATTATGAGAGTCCAATGTTATTCTTTTCCATGTGTGCCTCCAATCATTTTTCTAGCAGCACTTGTTGAGGAAAATATAGTGTCTATTTTTTATAAGTAACACGTTATTTTGGTTTCAAAAGCTTTGTAGTACATGAAGAAGTCAGGCAATGCTTAATTTTTGAAGAAATTGTTCTATACTTTCAAAGTGGCTGTGTCGTTTTACACTTCAACGTGAGGCCCATGAGAATTCTAGCTGATCCATAGTCTCGTCAACACTCGATATTGTCAGCCTTTTACATTTTGTCTGCTCTGACTAATTATAAATTTCTAGTTGTAGTTTAGATTTGCATTCCCCAATGGTTAACAATGCTGAGCACCTTTCACGTGCAATTTTCCAGTGGCACATCTTCTTTGATGAAGTATGTATTTACCTCACTTGTGTACTTTAGAAATTATTATTGTTGCATTTTGAGAGTTCTTTAGATACTTTTGATTAAGTTCTATAGTAGATATATGTAACAAGGAAATATTCTCCCATCGAAGTTTTTTGTTTGTTTTGAGGCAGGGCCTTACTATGTAGTTTAGGCTGATCTTGAACTCATTATCTAGCCCACATTGGCCTCAAACTCATGGCGCTCCTCCTGCCTCAGCCTCTTGAATGCTAAGATTACAGGCATGTGCTACCACCCTTGGCTCCACTGAGGCTTTTAATTTTGTTGACAGTATCTTTTGAAAAGCAGAAATTATTAATTTTTATAAAATATGACATCTATCTTTTCATTTTGTAGGTTATGTTAGATGTTAGTTCTTATTGTTGTTGCCATAAGAATTGGTATTTTTAAAAATAAAAGAACAAAAATTATTTTGTCGTTAGAGTATAGAAATAATATTGTCTGATAATAAATTAACTGGTGTCTTTTAAATGTGATAATTTGCATATTATTATGAGAAACTTTCTGGTAGATTATACTGAACTTTTCATGTAAATCAGAATTGCTTGAAAAGATGGTCTTTTCCAATCTGCCTGCTTTTATTTCTCTTTTTCCTTTACTTCACTAACTAAAATTTCCAAAAAAATAATGAATGGAAAAGTGAGAGTAGATTTCCTATGCTTTTTGATAGCTGGGGAAAAGTATGCCTGCCCTCTACTTACCTATTGCATCACCTAGAGATATTTTTTTAAGTCCACTTACTGATTCAGGGCATTTACTTTTATTCTCAGCTTGCTGAGAGTTTTCAAAATAGGTATTGGATCTAGTCAACTATTTCTGTGACCTCTGAGGTGATTATATAGTTTTAGGTTTTTAGTTCATAAATACAGTTGATTACATATTAAATTTTCATTCCTGGATAAAATCTACATGGTGATGTTTTGGGATATGTGACACATTATTCGATTCAATTCGATACAATTTTGCTCAGCATTTAGCACTTATATTGATAAGAGACACTGGTCTGCTGATTTCTTTGATTTTTATATCAAGACAATGTTGACTTAATGTGCTGGAAAAATGTCCTTTTCTCTTTATTTTCCTGAAAGAGTACAAGTAGAATTAAGTGTGATTTCGGGGGAATCTAGATTTTTCTCTGTGGGAAGGTTTTTAACTGTAAAATCAATTTCTACATTAGATATAGGACTATTGAGGTATTGTACTGCATCTATAGAGCTTTGTTAGTTTATACCTCTTGAAATATGTTCATTTCATTTAAATTGTCAAATTTATTTGCACAAAATTATTCACAGTATACTTTATTTCATTATGTTTAGAGATTATCTTGTGTTTTTATCATTGCTCTCTTTCCCATTATCGGTAATTTGTGTCTTCTTTCTTTCATTCCTGATCAGTTTGGCGAGATGTTTATCAATTTTATAGATCTCACAGAAGCTCTTAGCTTCATCAATTTTGTTTCTCTGTTTTTTTTACTTTATTATTTTCTTCTCCTGTCTGTGTATTTCTTATCTTCTGTTTATAGTGGGTTTAGCTTGTTCTTCTTTTTCTGGCTGCTTATGGTAGAGGTCATTGGCTAGATGTGGACGTGGTGCTGCACAGTTTTTCCAAGTACTGCTTCAGTGGTGCCCTGCAAAGTCTGACATGTAGTATTTTCAATTTCTTTTTTTTTTTAAATTTTTTTCTTTGACCCCATTCCCATTTATCTTTATAGTGTTCCTTTCCCTGGATTCAGGTAGCTTCAACCCTGTATGCACTAGCTAGTATTCATTCTGCTGAATACATAAGGGGAACCTCTTCAGAAAGCTGGAACTCTTTCCCTCTGCAGCCCTTCCTGTCTTGTCTGCTCTCCTGTCCTGTCAGTAGGACTCAAGGCTGGACAATCACAACTTAAAGGAGGAAACGTTCATTTTTGCTCATGGTTTTGGTCTACTGGCTTTGTGTCAGGAACATCATAGCTGAAGGGCTTGATGCAGCAAAGCAACACACTCCATGGTGGCTGGGGGCAGAGTTCAGAGAAAGAAGAGTGCCAGGAGAAACTTCCCTCCCTTCCAAGGTGCAGCCTCGTCTCTTTCCTTCTGCTGGCTGGCCACCCTGTCTGCTTCCAGTACATACAGCTGTGTCACACAGCTCAGCTACCTGGTCATCTTTCAGGAATTTTTTTCAAACAAGTTATCAATTAAGAGGAATTGGCATTCTCGTCCTGCTGAGAGTTCTGCTGTCTATTCCCCTTTTGTCTTAGCTGCACATCCTTGACTTAAGCAGTGGAAGCCTGCCTGGGCTCCCTTTCTAATCCCGAGTGTACACTGCATTACATCTTCTGTCTTTAAAACTGGTGCTGCATGTATTTTCCTTAGTGTGTTGATTAGTTAAGAGTGTAAATCTGTTTGCAATCTAGTACTTAATAGTAAAGCCAATATATTGGTGTATTAAAGTAATATAAACTGAAATGGTAAGGAATAAGAAGCAAAATATGAGCACCTTCCCTGAAATAAGGGTAGATACATTTTCTATAAAGCTTTAGCAAGTTTTATGCCTTTCTATATGTATGCATTGGGTTGTGATGAGAAAGACATTCTCATGGTGATGGTCATGGTCAGAATACTTTAAGAAACACTGTGATGGGTTCATCATGGTCCAGTAGAGACAGGAACATGTAACAAGTCTGCACCCCTGCACTGAAGGGATCAGAGGAAAAACATCTTTATTCCACATTACCCATCTGAAAACTCTTCATAATATCCTGCAAAGCTGTCAGGGATTTTCTGTCATGATCTCGAGCAATAGCTTGTATGCCCTCAAATTGAGCTAGATTTATAATTCAATCAGTTAAAAACCACAGTAACCATCTGGGTGTGTTCTAGGTACTGTGCATGATAAGTAGGAAGTACCAGCTGGAGGGAGAGGGCAGTCCCCCATGCCCAGGGCTGGAACGTATCTGGCTACTACAGGAGCAGAAGGTGAGGTGTGAGGAAGTTCTTAGAGCAGAGAGGACTCACGATCTGAAGATAAGAGGGAGTGTGTTGGGGCAGTTATTTAATGGAAATAGTAGGGCCAGAGGTACAGAAGCTGGGATTTCAACTTTATTTCATTGATTCATTCAACACACACACACACACACACACACACACACTTTATTTCTTTGAGATATATTAATGAAAAAATTGATAAAATGCCACCTCCATGGAGTTTATTATACAGAGGGAAAGAAAAATAGATAAGTAAGTACATAAGTAATTTGGTAAATGAGTACACTGTTATGGACCAAAAAACAAAACAAAACAAAACAAAACAAAACAAAACAAAACAAACAAAAAAACCAACCAAACAAAACAAATTAGAGCAGAGGAAGCAAGATTAGAGATGGGGCAGCCATTAGGGCCATACTGCCCTGAATGAGCACATCTCCTCTGATCTCAGAAGCTAAGCAGGGTTGGGCCTGCTTAGTACTTGGAGGGAGAAATGGGGCTGCCTGTCCTGATTTTGAGGGACATGATGGAATATACTTATAGTCTCAATGAAATAGTAATATGCACATATTCTACCAGACATTCTACAACGATCCAAGCATCATGCAACTTCTGCTTCCCTGACCACCGTAGATGGTCAGTCTTTCGGGTGTGGCGTGGACCTCGTGCTTTCCTAGGGAGCCAACGGGCCATTCCTGAGAGCGAGGCGAGGGGTAGCGACACAGGTGGCCTCCACAAGGAGTTTCCAGAGCCACGGGGCTTCTCCACTTGAAGGAGGAGTTTCACCCTGTGGTCTGGGTTTTGCCCTTGGCTTCTCTTCCATGGCACGTCCACAGTCAGCATAGTGTGAGGCACAGCTGAGGATGTCAGACTGTGGTCCCAGACACCAGTGTGACACTGTCGCTGGCCTGGTTTTCGGGCGGCAACAGAGCTGCAGGACAGCAGCCATGGTTACTCTTAGCGGCCACAGTTTGGACAGCAGCCCCGTTAGGTGTTTTCCTTCTCTTTTAACGTGTGAGGCAGCGCGGAGAACCGAGCACTCGCTCTGACACTCGGTTTCCCTATCTTTCCATCCCCCACCTCTGGGAACAGGCCGGTGACGGGTTACCGTTTTTGTGTCTTGGACTAGGTCCCGCCGTGACCCCCTCCGGCATGATCACCGAGGTCGGGCCCGCTCGGCGGGCAGAGCCGCGCAACGCCCAGCAGGGACGCGCGCGCGCCCGGCGCCTCAGGTTGCGCATCTGGTGCCGGAGCGCGCCCCGCGCAGTGCCCGCCGCGACTGTGCCGAGGGCTGGCGCTCCCAAGCTTGCCGGGCGCAGTTTCCCCGCGCGGGGGCACCAGAGCCCTCGGAAGTGTTAGGCACTGCAGTGCATTTTCCCAGTTCCCTTTTAAATGACTGCGGAAAAACAGGCTCTCGGAGCCGCAAATGGGAAGAAAGATTCTCAGACTAGGCTTGATATACCCGCAGCCACCATTTAACAGGGCCCGCAGAGCAGTTACGGTTTGACACCCGACCCTCCCGGACCGCCTCCTTTGTCCCCCGTGGGACCCCAGGCTCTGCCCGCTCGGGGCTGCTCCTTAGCTGGATGCACGTTGCGCTCCTGGCAGCGCGGGCGCAGGGCACGCATCCGCGCACACCCGCGCACACCGCACGCGCGCAAGGTACGGCGGGGGAGCCAGGGCTCGCGTGCCCGCGTGGGGGTGGGCAGCGCGGGGAGAGCAGCTGCGAGCGTGGAATGGCTGCGCGTGGCCAGGTTAGAGCAGGAGAGAAAATGACGCGGCGCCGCACCCGGACAGGCCGGGACGCCCCGCGCAGCAGCCCAGTCCTCGCCAAGCGCGCACCTTGCCCTCACGCGTCTCCATTTCGCGGGCGTGTGATGGCACAAAAGGACAAGAAAAAGACCCACGCAGACAGCTAAGTTGGGTGTGGACACTCCCCTTCTTCTCCACAAGCACCCAAGGAAGATCCTCCCCAAAATCGATCTCCAAAGAGGTGGCCTAGAAAGGGGGCAGTGACCCTTGGCTGCCAGCGCAAAGCGCGTTTACAGTGTTATTTGTTTGGGGCTAGCTCCCACCTCTTTTAGGTAGGGAGGAAAAGGAGAACTCAGCAGGGAGGGCTAGGAAAGGGAGGTTCCTATAATACGAATCAGCGCATTTTTCAGAGCTGAACCAAACCCAGTTTCCATTTCAAACAGGGTGACAGTCTCTACTGCAGGGGCAGAGGAGACCTCCGTTTGAACCAGGGGCCGACAGGCGTCGAGAGGCAGAGCAGTCCATCCCAGAGGTACCTGGCTCTCAATGCATCCACGCACGCACGCACGCGCGTGTCCACACGGCTGGGGTGTGTGCGTGTGTGTGCGCGTGTGTGAACTCCCACATGCTGCTGCTGTCTGCTCGCGGCCAGTGGCACTGCACTGAAGCCGCCTCCTCCCCGCTCGCCCCCAGATTCCCTCCCCTCCCCGTTGCTTTTGTCTGGAGGGTGTTATGCGTTTGTGTGTGTATGAGCGTGTGTGTTTTTGGATTTCAGACTAATTTTCTGGAGTTTCTGCCCCTGCTCTGCGTCAGCCCTCACGTCACTTCGCCAGCAGTAGCAGAGGCGGCGGCGGCGGCTCCCGGAATTGGGTTGGAGCCGGAGCCGGAGCCAGAGCCAGAGCCCGAGCCGGAGCCGGAGCCTCGCTGCTCCTTCTCGCGTGCGCTGTGCTCCGAGCCCGCGGCAGCAGGAGCCCAGACCCGGGCGCGGAGCCTGGTGAGCTACGCCGACTGCGCCCTTCGTTGCCTCGGCCCTCGCGGTGACCCTGGGTGGCCACAGCTGCTTCCCAGGTGGGACGCGCCGCGCCACCTGCCCGCGCCCTCCGCTCCCGAGGCCGTGGCGGATTCTGCAGCATCATTGGGGGCTCCGTCGCGGAGCCAGCACAGCCGGCAGTCTGCGTGTTTTCCTTTAAAGAGCCCTTTGCCTGGCCTGTGCCATGGAATCTTGTCCCGGGGACCCTGTCCTTACCTCTCTTCCCTCGGCCTCAGTTTTGGAGAGACGGTGGGCACACTGGTGGCCCCAATGGCATCAGCGCAATCCGTGGGGCCAGTTAATTCCCAGGCCGGAGCCCAGCGCGCATCCATCCACAGTCTCCTGTCTGGGGTCGGGGTGGGGGTGAGCGAGGAGGGAGTGTGTCCCGGTTTGTGGTACATGGGGTCCTGCACTTGGTCTTATGTGTTTCTGTTTGTCCTCAGCCCCGAGGTGCGTGCCGGATCCCTGTGCGCGTCTAGCCAGAAGTCTGCGCCTAGAGCGTCCGTCCCCTGCGCGGAGGGCCGGTCCCGGCGTGTTAACCATGCGTCTGCGACCAAGGCCGAGCTCTGAGCGGCGTTAGCGCCCTCTGCGAAGCGTCCCGCCATGCCCCAGCCACTGTGAACCTTGCTGCCGGCCCAGATACACTCAACCCGGGACGAGATCAGCTTTGGACACCCTGGACTCTGCGCGCGCGCCTGCAACAAACACAGAAGCGTCCGGAGGGCAGAAAGCGCAGGCAGGCCTCCCCCGTCAGGTCGGCAGGGAAAGCCGGCAGGTGCGACTCGGGACACACACCCGGGCTAGCACTGGCGACTAGGGATGTTGAGCTGGACAAGGTGGCATGGACCCGCCATGGCGCGGCTTTGGGGCTTCTGCTGGCTGGTTGTGGGCATCTGGAGGTCCACTCTCGCCTGTCCACAGTCCTGCAAATGCAGTGCCTCTCGGATTTGGTGCAGCGACCCTTCTCCTGGCATCATGGCATTCCCGAGGTTGGAGCCTAACAGTGCAGACCCCGAGAACATCACGGAAATGTGAGTTTCTGGTGCTCTTCCTCCTCTTTTCTTACCTCGACCTTAGGATTCAAGCTGTCCAGGCGCACATCCTGGCTGTGAAAGCTATTCCAAGTGTATGGAGAAGTCAGAAAGCAGAAAGGTAGGCCGGGGCCATTTGTCAGTTACCTGTTTCAGTGGCTTGAGGCTGCTAGGACAAGGAGAAGCTTGACAGTTTTACATGCATCTATATGCCAATACTATAAATATATGTGTATTTTCGTTGTAGGAAAGAATTTTATATGCATTTTATATTCCAAAGATCTTCTGAGTGTGCGGTAGGCTTTTTACATACAACAGTCTGGTTTGGGGCATTTTCATTTCATAAAATGTTCTAGATATGCTGTTGGAGAAGTTCCAGTAATATTCACTAGAAAGTAGGCTAAAATAATTAACTTTAGAAGTCTGTTGAAATGAAGGAAAGTCTCCCTTGACATCTTTTCCTGAGGTTTGAAGTCAACTACTTTCCCTTTTCATCTATCAGATTTTCTTTTGGAGACTGCATCCAGAGATAGACCTGAAAGTTATCTCTTAGTAAGAGGAGAAGTTCTGAGTGTTGAAATGCACTCACTCAAAAGAGAAAATGTGATCGTTGGCAGCCTGAAAGCCCAGTCTGATTTAATTTGGACTTGACTTCCCAGAGATATAATTTTGAGACCATTTGGATTATGACTCTTGACTGTCCATTGAGTGCCATCTCAGGACTAGGTGGACAATAAGGCAGCGTGCAGGCTCTGGTGAATGCTGGCTCTAGCCTTGGGCCCCTGTGTCCCCCAAGGTGATTTAACTTGTCCTTGCTTGATGCAGAGCAGGTCTGTGTATCTCTGTGCTCTCCTCTGAAGGACTGGTGACAAATAGATTACCAAGCAAGAACTCGCTGTCTTGTTTCTGGTGTTTCTAGGTCACCTCTGAGAAGGTGTTGCATTTTTCTGTCTTAAGGACTTTGCCACTTCCTGCATTTCTTGAACGTGTGGTTGTATTCACCTGTAGAGACAATTACAAGGCAAAGTCTCCCCTGGCTTTCTTGACAGTGTTTGACACTGAGATAGGAAGCCCTGCCAGTTGGGCTTGGGCTGTGGCCTTCCGGTTGGCGAGTGCGCATGCTTTTACTACCCCCACAGAAAATGCACAGCTGTGTTTCTACCAGCGTAGTTGATGGAGACAACCTGTTTTTTATGTAAGTAGGAGACCTTCCTTGTCTTTGTTGCTGTTCTGCTGGTGATGCTCAAGTTATGAGGCTCGGAAGGAGGAAATGGCAACAAGACCGAGGGGAGCAGTCCAGGCTGGATCGCTGAGATTTGCCGAAGCAGTGCCCGTGGGGCTCCGTGCAGGATGCCAGGGTCCCAGTGTTTTTGGCCAGGAAGGCAGCAGCGGGTGGGAGAGGAAAGGTGGGGAGAGCCTTAGCTGTGCTGGCCTTGGGCAGGGCAGGTCGAAGCTCAGCAGCCTGGTCCCGAGACTCAGTGGCCTTTTTGTCAGAATCTGTGTCTTTTTATGAGATGGTGCCAGCCAGTAGTCTGATGGAGGAGGCCATGGAATTTGGGGCCCTTCAGACTGCTTGGCGACCGTGGGAGAAGGCATAGATACAGTTAAATAGGGGGATTTTTTTTTTCTGCCTGATTGATTTTTAAAGTCTGTACTAGATGATAGACATATAATTTTAAAAAAGTGAGATATAACTGATGATTTTCACTTTACTATTTTAAAGCCTGGCTAAGGAAAAAATAAAATTATCTTTAAATTTTAAAAAATATTATTTAAAATCTTCAATGTCTTAGCTGTTTGATATAGATAGAGCCTACACACTACCTTATTTGGAACGAGCTTTCTTGTATCTCACAATTGTTGCTTCTTTGGTATCTGAGAGCAAGTTCCTATCATCGGGATTTTTAAAATGGATTTTTAAAAGATGAACCTATTTTGGCCTTGTCACCCATTCTGTCATGGCACTCCCAGTTTCTACTCTAATTTTTTTCTTTCTGATTTAAAAGCCCTGTGGATTCTGGGGTGCTGGGAGGCTGCATGTTCAGGATGGGAGTTTGAAGAATGACACTAACCAGGCTGGCAGATGAGAGGTCTGGCTGAGGTGCATCTGTCCACCTGTTCCTTAGCTGTGCCCACGCCCGGGACCTGGTGTCTCAGTGTCTGTCTGTGAAACTTGTCATAACACTTGTTTGGAAAACCATCACATAACTATTTTGAATTCTGCCTTTTTGATCTCACAACATCAATAGATGAGCTTGTTTCACTCTCCTTATAAGCCCCTGTCTGTGCTTTTTCTTGCATTAATATTTGTTTCGGTAACTTTGAGATTTTTTGTCCAGTGGCTACCAGCTCCAGTTAGAACAAAATTTCCCATTTTTAATACTTGTTTTCTTTGATTCAGGGTGAACTCTAAAATAGTAAAGTTTTAATTTTTGGATATGTAGCTAAAGTTACATGTTTCTATTTTTTTGATACCAAGAATAATGTAAGAAATCTGCCCTTAAAACTTGCTAAGCAACAAATCAAACATTGTGCATCTTCTGATATTTATAAATTAAATCATCATGTCCCAGAGCTCAAAGGGACCTAGTGGCAGAGCATTTAAAAAAATACTTATGTATAGATGAACTTAACAGTTGGATATTTTTATGCTTTCATGTATATTTCCAGTTAAGATGAAGTACTACTGATAAAGTCATGACAATATGTCTTTTTAAAAATCTTCCCATCAAAATATTGTCTTATATCCTTTCCTTACTGTCATGGCTAGCGCTATGTATTTCTTTCTATAGACACATTATGCCTGTTTATTACCACACTGCTAAATGGTCGCTCCAGATATTTGCAATTAGTTATACCACAGCAGTGTTAAATTAAGTTGAAAGCCAATGCCAGTGTCACACAGAAGTGGAATTTGAGTGAAGTGGGCTGTTGCAATTATGTAACTTGGCATTTAAGTCTCAGTTGTATCAAGTGCCAAAGTGCACGGCAAAGGGCAAATCTGTCTCACCCAGGTGGTAAAAGGCAGGGTTAAAATAAAGTGGGGAGGATTTTTCATTGCACAACTCAGTAGTGTTAACTAAAACTCCCTTGCAGTGGCAAGGCATGGATTTTTATATTGTCCACCTCTTTTGAAGGCCAGCAGGGGTCTTTTTCTAAATTCCATGGGTGGGGTAATATTTGTAAATGAGTCTAATTTATTTTGGCACAGCCCAGATGGAATTTGCAGCTTCTCCTGTCAGAGCATTTATGCGCAGCTTATTGTTGGCTTGGTTAAACAACTGTGATGTCATTCTATTAATACATTGATTTTGGCCCTCTCACCTTCAGAAGCTTTGCCATCACAATTAATTGTACTGTACTTTAAAAATCCTGGCATTCACTAGAATTCAGTGAAAGGTATCTGTCTTTATTTCTCTGATATTTACTTCTCATCGTCTCCACTGGGGATTCTGGAATTTGGATTGTGCTTTTTCCTGCCTTTAAGAACCATGCATTTACATTTTGAGTGTGGTTACATAAGCCACACTGGACTTGTTAATAAATAAAGCAGTCTAATTTACATCATTCATTATTTAGCACAGTTTGCAAGCTGGAGCTGAAAGCACACCATCTTCATGGCGGAGGTATTTAGAGGCTTCGGCTCAGCATAAGCATCTGGAGGCTTGTAGCTCTACACCTCCAATCCCTGCAAGATGGAGAGTTTTGTTGTGCTGGGTGAAATAATGGAAAAGCCCCACGACCCCGCTGACACTGCTTTCCTCTACCTCCCCCTTCCATCACCAGTCACTGACTGTACAGGAAAATGTGTTTGATTTTTTTCTTCTCTGAAAAGTGATATTTCCTTGTGGGAATTCAGAGCGCTAGTGTTAAGAGAAGCGCCTGGGTCATATGTTATTACAAGCAAGTAATGGCAGGTTGAGATGGTGTGGCCACAGCTTTCTCCTGCTGAGTGTAGGCCTCTTCAAGGCCATTGCCTGTCTCTACCCCATAAGCCTCCTTTTTTGGGAGGTCTGTTTCAATATTCCCTTGTGAAGACATTTTCTAAGCTGAGGACTTGGCTATATAACTGAGTTGAAGTCCCTTTTTCCCTGGGAACGGTCTGTATGATCTCTTTGAGTATATCTAGGTCAGGGGAGTATACAGTCTAGAGTTTTTGTTTAGCTGGGGAAGGGAAATTGAATTTCTTTTCGTTTCCTTTTTTTATTGCCTTGGATACTAAGCAAGTGCCTTGGCTTTAACTCTTTACTTATCTTGCCCATTAGGGAAACAAACCATATCAAATCATTATTAAATATTGTTCAGTGGCATTATCCTTCCAACTAATTTGACTCTTGCACTTCTCTAAGAGATTCTCATAGGTTCAGAAACTATAAGGTAGCATGTGGATTGAATCTGCTGCCCCTGGGAGCAAATGTCAGCATGCAGTTTTTCTCGATGCTGTAAGCCAATAAGATTTGGGGAATAGATATTGAAGTAAAGCAAACTTTTTCCTTGCTGGATGTGTGATATGTGATGTGTGATGTGTGAGGTGTGAGGTGTGATGTGTGAAGTGTGTATGTGTGATGTGTGAGGTGTGTATGTGTGATATGTGTATGTGTGTGAGAGAGAGAAAGGAGAGAGGAGTGAGAGGAGAGAGAAAAAGAAAGACTGAGAGAGAGAGAGAGGGAGAGGGAGAGAGAAAGGGAGAGAGGGAGAGAGAAAGGGAGAGAGGGAGAGAGAAAGGAAAAGAGGGAGAGAGGGAGGGAGGGAGGGAGAGAGAGAGAAAGAGAGAGAGGGAGAGAGAGCTGAACCTTGGCTTATTAATACTTGATTGATCACTTTCCTAAACTACTTGGTCAAGCTATTTTAAAACGTACACCCCACCCTCCAGTCCCAAATGGCAGTGATCTGAGCCCTGCAGTGGCTTGATAATTTCAACTCTGCATTTGATCACTAATCAATCTCCATTTTAAAGAGCAAAGATCCCACAGAATCAGGGTGCCTCCTTACCATTTACC